CCTGTGTGTCCAAATTAGTAGTTCTTGGAGCTTCAACCAAACCCAATCTCTCCAACCGCCATGCTTCTCGCACAATCTCACGTTTTTCAGTAACTGTTGCATCCGTTCTTGATAATCCTCTAATTTCAATTTCGTAGGATAATTCATCACTTAGTAATCTGTTTACCTCCATAATCGTAAAAAAATAAATTACTACCCTTAACTAGTAGCTAACCTTAATAATACAAGTAATCCACGAAGGAACCCCCCTCTTTCCCAGAGAGAAAAAAAAATAAAGAAACTAAAGAAAAGAGAAATGCCGAATCAGCAACAACAATGTATACGGGTCGTGCAAAATATCGATAAAGTTTTTATTCCAAACCGGACAGTTTAGATCACGTATGAAAAACTAAAGTCAATTAAAGATCTCCAAAGATCTTTTCTACGATCACCCGTATCACACACAAATCATAATATCAAAAATAATATAGCAGGAAGAAATCAATAGTGTAAACCCGTTACAAACTACCATCAAACTCTTACAACTTCACAATCTAAAAAAAACTAATTCCACTGTTAAATGAAAGTGTAAATCGACCTGCATAAATTGATTTATGTTCCTAATCAAGGAGTTTTCTATATCTATGGAAGTGCTATCTAAATTATTTTATCTTAAGTACTAACTAAAAAGTTAAAGTAATAAACTTGGTACTACTGATATGGCTTACCTTTAATTATGTTTTAGTATTCTACCGTTAAATAAGTGAATAGTTATTTATACTTAATAGGTTATAATCTATCAACAATTAAACTCCGCTTTTAAGGCATTACCTTGTAAAACGTCAGAACTAACCTTCCACCAAGTATTTAAGCACGTGGGGCGCCACTTGTTAGACCTGAACTTCCCTTTAGTATAAAAAGAAGGTGCTGGTCTAAGCGTGGGTTCTTTGCATTCATGAAATAAAACTCCTAGGAGAGTAAAAGAACAATCTTTATTTACTACTGGGGGTAGGATTGGTTCTGACGGAGCTTTAAGGTGAACCATGATCCGAACAGATCAAGTGTTCTACTATTGCCGTGATCTATGGTTGGGATTAATACACAGACCACTTAGACTGGCCGTATCTAATTCCAATGCACCGGTACCAGTGAACGCAAAATCTGGGGAAGTGGAGTGTGGAGGGCAATCTGATCGCGCGCATCTTTAAGCAGATCCGGATTAAGTAATATTTTTATTACATATTAAACATTATATTGCATCTTATGACAAATATTCAATTTTAAGTTTGTAATTCAGAAAATAGTATATTTTAGTGTCATATTAAATAAAACTACAAAANTTCCTCTACAATATTAGTATAGATTATGTGGTAATGCTTAGATATTATATATTTTATTTATATTTTTCGGATTTTTTTTTAGTATAATTGTTAAATGAATATTTAAAAAACGTACAATAACAATATTCCATGTCAAAAAAAATTAAACAACAATTTTCTTACTTTTTTGAAAGAAAATAATCATAAAATTTAATTTTAATTTTAATTTTTTAAATGAGCGATAATAAAAAATAACTCGAGCAATATTTTCGAGAGTCCAGCAGAAAGAATAGGAAATTCGAAAAGGTATACGGAGGGCAACACTGAAGGAAATGTTAGAGATCTTCTTAATATCAACCCTGGCAGAGATATGATGAACCTTCCTTATTTCAGCCCTATCAGAGACCCTCCTAATGTTAACCCTATCAATCAACTGTAATAACAACGACACCAGTGACATTTAAAACTGGAATTAAATTGACAACCTGTTACGACGATATACAGGGTGTGTCACGGTGACGGCCCATTAGCATTATTTCAGAGACTACTTCGATTTGAATTTTGAAAATTTGGGATACCGGGTTTTCAGCCTTCTCAACTAAAATAATGGCGTCCACGTACCACTTCCGGTTATACCGAAGTCGCCATCAACTTGCTTATTTTAAATTTAACACCCTATATACTATTGCAATTTTGAATTCTACGTGTTATTTTAGGTGGACTTTTATGAAGTTTCCCTATTCCTAAAATTCCTAATTTCGAGATATTTAATTTTTTTCAAGAAAATGGAGATGAACAGTGACTATCTTCAAACCATGTGTATTTTATAGTAAGCAAGATAAATCAACAATATTGTAATCACCTAAAATTATGTAATTTCTTGCGAGGATAGCTGCGGAATTTTTAGCAAAACTTCAAAACAAACAACTAAACTGTCAATTTGTTGTTAGTATCTTGCAGTGACAGTTTAATTTAATGTTTATAAGAAAAAGAAAACAATACATATTCAAATGCTGATATTTTAAATTTATTATTCATTCACGGACGTTGCAATGGGATTATAAGCAGAACATGTACAGTTTTTAATGAGACATATCCAAATTTGCCACCAATGAGCAGAGAGAAGTTAAGAAGAATTTTAGCAAATCAACTAGAGTATGGTCGAATTTGTGCAGAAAGAATTTTACCAAAACCAATAACTTCAAATGAAGATAATGTAATAAATATGCTAGCCTATTTTAATGTTCATCCAAAATCCTCAACTCGTGCCGCAGAATATGATTTAGGCATTTCACGAGCGTCTATTCACAGGATGCTAAGAACTAACGATATGCATCCATACAAATTTAAGCTACTTTCTGCTCTTCATCTGGGTGACGCCGTGCAACATGTACAATTTTGTGAAACGATGTTAGTGCGATACCAAGAAGATCCGCAATTTTTGCAACATATTATATGGACAGACGAGTAAAAAATTTACGAGAGAAGGTATTTTTAATATACACAATACTCATTTGTGGTCATCTGAAAATCCTCATGTTAATCCGGGAAAGAAACTTTCAAAATTTTAGCCTAAATGTTTTTTGTTTAATTAAAGATAATCAAATTTCTTCCCATGTCTACGAAGAAAATTTAAATGCCGACAGATATCTCAGTATTTTGCAAACGGTTGTGGCAGATTTTCTAGATGATATACCTTTAGACCAACTAAGGAAGTGTTGGTATCAATTAGACGGGGCTCCGTTTCCCTGTCACAATCAAATTGATCAACAGCTGACTGAAATGTTTGAAGATAGATGGATGAGACGCCTAGGACCGTGTAATTGTCCAGTAAGGTCTCCCGACCTCACTCCATTAGATTTTTATGTTTGGGGAGTAATAAAGCAGAAAGTTTATTTTACACCCGTTGCTTCAAAAGAGGATTTGATTGCTCGAATACGAAGAGCGTTCCATGAATTGCCTGCAGATGAAATAGCAAAAGCGGTGACTGATGGTGTTATCTCTAGAATCCACAAATGCTTAGCTGTTAATGGGGGTCATATTGAACACTTATGATTTTTTTAAGTATTTTTTTTTATCTGAGTTCATTATTATCAACATAGATAATTAAAATTGTGTGTTAAACTAAAACCGCTGTATCTTTTCCATTGCGTCACAAGCAATATTCGTATGAACTAAGACGAAAAATCCTAGTCAAATTAATTACTGTTTTCATATAGTTGAAATGTCATCTTGACAATTCCCAAATCTGGATTTCTGGCAAATTTTAATACTGGTGTTACTGGATATGAAAATATTCCAAAAATTCGATATTTCAACGCTTAAAAAATATATACAGGGTAGCCCATCGAAAACGTACCGTAAGGCATTATAGGGTAGTAATGAACTTTTCGGCAAAATCCAAAAACAGGTAAAGTTTGCTTCTGAGGGGGACAACTTTTGGCGCAAAAAGCATAGCAAAATCTTCAACCCCCTAAGTGGGGGTGCCATCCCCCAAATNTTTTATTAATTTTTGTGTTTCTTAGCATATTACTACGACATCTCGAGATGGATACGTCAAACAACCACGATCTTTAATAAAAATTAATTGACTGTACGAATACTGAATCTGAAATTAGTTTTGTTTGCGATTTTTTTAATTGAAAAAAATATTTAATTAATTTTCAGCTATCTCGAAATGACGGGAATTAGTAAAATTTCATAAAAATTTAAGACTCACATAAAGTAAATAATTACTAAAAATATTTTACAGTAATTCATTCCTTTTCTTTATAATAACAATATCACGTTCATCACTACACTATGTGGGCCAACAAAATTATAAAGCTAACTCTGGAAACTTGTGACGTCAACCGAAAAATGGCGTACCTTTTATATATTCCTTTTTTTACTTACCTAAAGAAGAAAACTTTTCGCCTCTCTTCACCAACTCGATCACTTCTATTTATACAATGTTTTAGAATACACTTGCCCATGATAAAACGTCTAATTATCGAAATCACAGCGATGCGTACACGTCAAATGCTTGGACACAACTCGCGCGCCATTATTCCATNGCTTGCTAAAGAACTTAAGTCTTTCTAGTTCAAAATGGTGCTCTCACCCAAAAGATAGAGTATCAAAAAAACCCAGTCATAAAAACCCTTAAAAATCATAGAATTGGAAATACCAAATTTTAAACCATAGAAAATTGTATTATTTCAAACTCAAACCTCTATCTCCTTCTAACTCATTTATCTTAGGAGGGATATATGGTGCTACATTATTACCAATAGTTTCTGTGGATCTGTGACAGATAATAACCATAGATTAACACAGTTTTGATAGTGGGACCAAAGAAAAGGTTATATTTACATATCTCTGACAATATGGGCTGTTATTTATTCATGTTGAGTATATGGAATTTCTTTCTTAAACAAAGCGATTTGTCTATTTCCCAACCCTCCTCGCTGAGAATTTCGTCCTGGAACCTTGACGGGTTCCGGGCCAAAAAAACGGAACTCGTGGACATCTTGAACCGTCTAAACATAGACGTTATGGCTGTCCAGGAGACCTACCTCAGCGAGGCATCCCGTACCTCCATCCCTGACTATGACATATACAGACATGACAGAAACCGTAACGGGGGTGGTGTTGCACTCATAGTAAAGAAGTGCATCGACCACTATCCGCTGCANAAAAGATAGACTCTAAAAACCCAGTCATAAAAACCCTTAAAAATCACAGAATTGGAAATACCAAATTTTAAACCATAGAAAATTGTATTATTTCAACCTTAAACCTCTATCTCTTTCTAACTCATTTATCTTAGGAGAGATACATGGTGCTACATTATTACCAATAGTTTCTGTGGATCTGTGACAGATAATAACCATAGATTAACACCGTTTTGACAGTGGGACCAAAGAAAAGGTTATATTTACATATTTCTGACAATATGGGCTGTTATTTATTCATGTTGAGTATATGGAATTTCTTTCCTAAACAAAGCGATTTGTCTATTTCCACCACGATTGTACTGGCGCGGTACCTCTAACTTTTACTTGTTCCAGGCACCACCTGCGGGGAGGCCACTGGTTGGCAACAACAAGGAAAACCTATGTGAACAAAACCAACAAAACTACCCTAATCCAATCATTTGCAACCCACTATCTACTCTCCCCTCTTGGGAATGATCTTAAAAATGATAAGTTAGGCGCAATAAAATAAACCTGTAACAAATGGTGTCCACGGAGTGGGCTTTTGAGTGTAGAGAATAGTCAGAAGTCACTTGGTGCTAAGTCAGGCGAATACGGTGGTTGTGGATCGATATGAGTTGAATATTTTGCAAAATAGTCTGGAATTATCAATGCTGTGTGAGTTGGTTCAATATCATGATGCAAAAACCAAGAGTTGTCTGTCCATAATTCCGACCTTTTGCGGCGAATAACATCACGCAAACGACACATAACACTCAAATAATATTCTTTGTTAACAGTGCGACTGGTAGGAAGAAGTTCATAGTGCACTACGCCATGATAATCAAAGAAAACTGTCAACATGACCTCGATTTTTGAGTGACTGGCCTTTTTTTGCGGTCTTGGTTCACCTTTTGTACGATATTCATTCGATTGATCGCCTGTTTCCTGGTCGTAAGCGTAGATCCAAGTCTCGTCTCTAGTAATGATGCGTTTCATGAGGTCTTGGTAGTCAGAAATCATTGGTTCGCAGATGTCAACAGGATGCTATTTTTCCAAAAAGCACAAGATCTTTGATTTGATTAAAGTGTTGTTCAGCAATTGACGTTGATGGTCGTCCAGAACGCTGTTCGCCCTTAACGCTTTTTCTGCCCTCTTTAAAGTCTTTGTACCACTTGTAAACATTTTTTGGCGACATAACCTCATCAACAAAGGCTTATTGTAACATTCTACACGTTTTCGCGACATAATATTCATTCCGCAAACAAAATTTAATGCAAATTCTTTGCTCAACAAAATCAGACATGGTGAAAATCGATAAACTTTCGTATGTTTACAAAAACACAAGTAGCTCTGCAACAATTGACAATATTGACTTGAAACTCTGCACAAATATCAAGGACAGTACTACTACCTACAAAGAAATAACTGTATGTTTTCATATACTCGCGAATTTTAAATAAGTAATTCACCTTATTTTTTGGACACCGTAATATAACACACAAAGTTATTATTTTTACATTCTTAAATAGTCAGTGCTGCTCAATGCCTAAACCTTCAATACCTGCTACCCAACCTGCTAATCTACTATGAAAGCGAGCATTTAATATTTAAATTCTATATACAAAACATTGATAAAATTATATTTATATTATGACAGACAAAATTTCTTCTAAGTAGAAATAAAATCTAGTTCAACTATCACAGTACTGGCAGAAAAATCTGTGTCTTAAGGCCGTAAATTGTCATTACGTACATATTTACCTAAATCCCCACCTCCCTACCCAAACACGATTCGTGTAATTCAAACAAACACTTCTCCGGTTGTGGATATGGTGTGTGTTTGCACACATGTCGCATATCATGGAACATCATGAAAATTTAATGCTTATGAGTGTTTACCGCCATCAAGCCTTGTTGACGTAGTATTATTTAATATGATACGCCGCTGTTGAAAACATGCCCTGTATTGCAAATACAGTAATGGGATAAACGCTGGTACAAACTAAGTACACTCACTAAAAGTTTATGTTTAGTCTTGTCTCCGTATATTAACTGCTGCGGTAGCTAATGCAATTGACGTTTACATATCCAGCGAAGAGGCTTCTGTTAGCATAGTTAGGTCGATGTGCCCGTCCATAATGGCACTCAATGTGTGAATAGCCAGTTTGACAGAATAATGCATCAGATGGTGCCAATAAAAAAAAATCAAAACCGTCTAATATGGCACTTCTTCTGTAGTTTCCTTCAAAGAAACCTAATACTAATAGCATGTCAACTTGTTCGCTAAATGAAAACTTCTCGACCATTTTCAAAAGACTCAGCAAACAATTACCAAAATTAAATGACTTTTATTCCTGATCGTCAAGTTTGACGATCATAGCCAACTTTTGAATTTTCGATGATTTTAAATAGCGCAGCTGCAGTACCTACGTATTATTAGCTATTCATGTTTTTATTTAAAATGACAAAGTTTTTTGAAAATTAACACAAGAGTAAGAAAAGTTTTAGAATTAAATTCCCCATAAAATAATCATTTTTTAAGTCCGCTAATGGGTTAAAAAATTCTGTCACATTTTAATGGTGCATCATCCCTTATCAACCCTTTAAAATGCTTCAATTGAATTCTACTTACTGTCGATTAATGCTCTTGGTACACTCACAACGTGTACCAAATTTGTTTTTTATAACTTCAAGTATAACTGAGACATTGATTTTTTTCGAAATTTCAAACCCCACTTTCAAGGACTATAACTTCTCAGGGGTGCAGTTTAGTATAATGGTAAGTTGCATTAAATCACCATATTTTAGGTTCCCCTATATGCCTCTGCTCTGTGTCGGTTCTTATGCGAAATACTCTGTATATTTGTGTACGTATTTAATGTTCACCCTGTACACCAGGTGGATATAGTCTAACACACTCCCATAAAAAAGTTCTGTACCAGAGACATGAGTACATAGATTTTGTGTATTTTTTGATACTGAACCCAAATCCGTAGCCCAAACACCGATTTACCAGGGCATTTTTTTTGTAAAACGCTAAAATATTACCTAAAATAAGGTGAAATAGTGAGGATAATGTAAAGCTTTAAAATTAAAAGTAACAGTTTGTAAATACTTCGAGAAATTATTTTTAAAATAATATTTTGAGCATTGGAAAGAAGTATAATCAAATTAAATCCACACCTACAATGTGAACAACGATAGCCTTGTATTTTATACTAGCAAATATGCAAATGTACACAAGGAAAATGTCAAAAAACCTCAAATCGGCACTTTTTTCAGTTTTTTAACTATAACTCGAAAACCAAGCGTTTTTCGATCATGCAAACCATACACAAAATTAAAGTTGACAAAAATAAGGTATATTTTTATTTGTATAGTCTTTTTTAAGACGCAACATAGACACCATATAGGTAGACCATCATTTTCAGATGTTGGTCTGTCATTATTGATTTGACAGCAATATAAATTTGTGTTAATTTAAAAATGACAGATGGACATCTTTCCATTGGATTCTGGGTGTGCTAATAACTTTGAAAGCGCTATCTTAAAAAACCTCACTGTGTATATAGTTAATAGTAATAATATGAATGAATATGAAAATTATTAAATAATGGTATTTTTTTATTATAACTGATATACCAAATTAAAGTAGACAAAAATTCCTACAAATACGTATAATAACTCTAAAGTCTGGACAATCCATAACGTCGTTAGATCGTGTGGAAAAAATTGCATTTCTTGACTTTCCCCTTAAAAAGTTGAAAACGTTATTCTAACAGCGCACTATGCCTTACTATCAACCTCTAGATTCAATTATTTTATGATTACCTGGTATGTCCAGGTTACATTTAAGGAATTTAAGGAAGGTTTTGATAAAGGGAAACATAATTATTTGGAACAAATTTGTATTTACACGAAAAAAAGCAAAAACACCATTATTTAATAATTTTCATATTCAATCATATTATTATTATTAACTTTATACACAGTGAGGTTTTTAAGATACAACATAGGATTTCAAAAGTTATTAGCACACCCAGTATCCAGTGGAAAGATGTCCATGTGTCATTTTGAAATTAACACAAATTTATATTGCTGTCAAATCAATAATGACGACCAACATCTGAAAATGATTGAATAAACGTTGACAATAAAATGATAAAATATGTAATACTCAGTACCGATGTATGTGCCTATATGGTGTCTATATTGCGTCTTAAAAAAAGACTCACTGTATTTATACAAATAAAAATATAACTTATTTTTTGTCAACTTTAATTTTGCATATGGTTTGCATGATTAAAAAACGCTTAGTTTTCGAGTTATACTCAAAAAACAGAAAAAGTGCTAAATTTTGAGTTTTTTGCGATTTTCGTTGTGAAGCCGTCGTTTGACGAGGTGGCAAAACTCAGATTCGGATTGAAGAGCCCAAAAAACATAAAGAACCGGTAAGAAAAAACTTACGTCGTTTCTGAACCTTGAATATACCAAGGTCGCACTTAGGCTCTTTAATTCACAAGCTTTCTATTCAATATTTTTGTCTGAATTTTGTTACCGCGGGTGTTTGGGGTCGCTGATTACGAATCTGAAGTTTGAATCCAAAAATTCTTGAATAAAATATGGCAGATCCAATATGGTGAATGTAAAAACTGGAAGAGCATTGGAAATATGAAGAATATGGCTGAAACTTGTTAGTCGGTGCTTTTCAAATTCTCTAATCAGAATTATAAGGGTCTAGTGCTGAAATTCTTAATATGAATATTTAAAATATTAATTATAAATATATTGAGTTATCTGAGAAAAAATAGGCAAATGTCTAAAAATGAGAGATTTGCAGTGTGGTGTCATTCAAATACTTTTACTATTCCCAACAGGGAATGATAACACCATACCTTAAATGAGAAATATAAGACGCACAAAATGAGTTTGATTTTAGAGCTAAATATAAATTTGATCAAACTGTTTCAACTAAATTCTAACTAGCACTTGCTCCCTGCTTCATTTTCATCAAGCGCTTGGGTCTATACACTTTTCACTCAACTGGGAATTCTGAAAACCTGCAAACAATCGCGACGAGTTCGTGTTTTCCACTCGAACACTTCATCCTCCAGAAACAAATTCAAGGAAATTCCTGTCGGGTTATTATTAATCACGGCTCAAGTTACCCCTCCATCAAAACAGACTGCAACACCAAATAAAAACCCTTTCAAACGACATTTGATAGAAACCCATCGACATAAAACCTGCCAGCGTACTAGAGTATTCCCATTAATCACGTTTTAAAATAAATTGCAGCTTTCGGTTGAGGAAATGCTGAATCACTGCGAAAAATGCAATCCGTTTAAGATACATCGCACAGATTTGTCGTTATCAATGGAAGGTTTCCCGTCCGAGAGGGCCTTATTTCCGATGGTCTCTGACCGAGGTCGAGATCCGTCTTTGTGAAACATACATTTAGTTTGAAACATTAACATATATTTGCTAGTGATGGAATAAATTTAAGATTGGACAGAAATTACGAGTCATGATTTTTAAATG